GCACTTGACCTAGTGGTTAAAGCTTTAACCTCTGCTGGATTCCAACTGCACGAAGACAAGGTTCAGAAAATGCCACCTGTTGCCTTCTGATACAAGGCAGGCGACCTGGTTCTGAGGAAGTGGCATGGCGACCCATTCTCCAGGGTCGCTCGGGCCTATGAAACACGCAGATACCAATGTGGTGGACGGTCAAAAGGCCTTTATTATCTCATCTCGTGGGGTTTTATAATCTAGGGGTTTTTCTACGTCAGAGGGGGTCTGTCTTTCCCATCTATGGTTAGTAAGGAATGGAAAGTTACTGGGTAGGGAATGGAAAGTTACTGGCATCTGGTTCAGGGGGTTGCATTCCTATGTTAATTTTCTTATCTAAGGGGACAGGGGCCTTGCCTTCCCGTTACATCGCGAGATCTTCCGATCGCCTGTCCCCTATCTACCACAGCCACCTTGGAATTACCTGGGCTTGCAAATCACTGCACAGACCATTGTTCCGCAAAAATTGGAAATTAAGACCGATCCCAAAACCCTGGCAGATCTCCATTCCTTGTGTGGGTCTTTGAACTGGGTCAGGCCTTGGCTGGGTCTCACCAACAGGGACCTAGCTCCTCTTCTCAATTTACTGAAGGGAGAGAGAGAGCTAACCTCTCCCAGGGAGCTGACCCCAGAGGCAAAAACCGCCCTCCAAAAAGTGCAGAAGTCTTTGGCCAAGACGCAGGCTTATAGTTGTAAGCCCCAGCTGTCTTTTGAATTCATCATTTTGGGCAAGTTACCACACTTACATGGGTTGATATTCCAGTGGTTTGAAGTACAAAAAGATCCACTTCTAGTCATAGAGAGGGTTTTCCTCTCCCATCAGCGATCCAAAACCATCACACAGCCACAGGAGCCAATAGCTCAGCTGGTCTGGAAGGCCAGGCTAAGATTGCGTGAGCTGGCCAGTTGTGACTTTGAGTGTATTCACCTTCCAGTCCACCTTGCTAAGGAGGGAAAGAGCTCTCCTGAGAGGTTGGCCATAAAGAGGTTCAATGACCTGCTCCAGAGCAATGCCAGTCTCCAGCTATCCCTGGACAGCTACACTGGACAGGTATCAGTCCAAGCCCCGTCACACAAGCTGTTCAATGAGGAATTCCACCTCATTGCTCCTGAGAAAAGCAGTTGTGGGCCACTCAAGATGCTTGCAGTGTTCACTGATGCATCCAGAGCATCCCACAAGTCGGTGATGACTTGGAGAAATCCCCAGACTCAGCATTGGGAAGCTGATGTTGAGTTTGTGGAGGCGTCACCCCAGAATGCTGAGCTAGCCGCAGTTGTAAGAGACTTTGAGAAGTTTTTGGAGCCAATTAATTTGGTTACCGACAACCAATGTGGCGGGAGTCGTGTCCAGGGTGGAGCAGGCAGTCCTCAAAGAGATCGAGGATGGGCAGCTCCACAGGTTGCTCTCAAAACAAATTCATTTGGTTTCGCAGCGGGAGCACCCTTTCTATGTGATGCATGTGAGGTCGCACACCAATTTGCCAGGCAGATCGCAGAAGGAAATCGCAGGGCAGGTTCCCTTGCCGCTCCGGCAGAAATGGCACGCCTTCCAGACATCTTTCAACAGGCAAAGCAAAGTCACCAACAATGCCATCAAAATGTTCCAGGTCTAATCCATCAGTTCCAGCTAACACAAAGTCAGGCTCGAGCCATTGTGGCCACTTGTCCCAATTGCCAGCTTCAGGCAGTGCCATCCCTGGGTGTTGGGGGTAACCCCCGAGGCCTTGGGAGCCGCGAGGTGTGGCAGGCAGACATCACACACATTCCCAGTTACTGTCACATGAACTACATCCATGTCAGCATAGACACATACTCAGGTGCCGTTTATGCCTCTGCCCACGCAGGGGAAAGAGCTGCACATGCCAAACAACCCTTGCTGCAAGCCTTTTCAGTATTGGGGATTCTAGGGAAATTAAAACTGACAATGGCCCAGCGTGTGCCTCCAAGGAGTTCCTAGAGTTTGTCCAGCAGTGGGGAGTGGAGCATAAGACAGGCATTCGCCACTCCCCCACAGGTCAAGCTGTGATCGAGTGTGCCCACCACATGCTCAAAGAGGTCCTGACTAGGCAGAGCAATTCTGCAGTGTGGATGAGTCCACAACAAAAGCTCTGCAAAGCCTTGTTTCCCATCAATTTTCTGAATTGTTCATTTGAAAACATGAATCCTCCAGTAATACATGATTTCAATAATAACAACCGGTTTAAATTGTCACAGTGTCCACGAGTTCTCGTCAAAGACCCAGAAACTTGGGAAACCAAGGGTCCTTATGAGCTCGTCACCTGGGGGCGTGGTTACGCGTGTGTATCCACCCCCTCAGGCCCCCGATGGATACCCCAAAAGTGGGTAAAACCTTTCGTCCCCAAAAATCCAGCTCCAGCAGACCGGGATAAGAAGCAAGCAGCTGTCACTTCCAAGAGAAGGCGCCGCCGGAAAAAGAAAGAAGAACCTTCCTAAGAGAGTTACCTGCATTCCGGCAGACCCATGAACTTGTATGTGTCTTTTAAAAAAAATGTTTGTTTTCCTTTTTAGAACAGAAAATCTACTTCCTACCTAACCTCACGGTGAGCCCTGTCTGAGTTGTCATCCTGTTCGGGCTGAGCAGTCTGACAGCTGCGCGGATCGTTCCTTAGCCACGCCAAAACATCTGGGTGACCCTGGCACAGACGCTCCAGCAGGAAAATATATATATTTTATATATATATATAAAATAACCTGTCCACAGCAGCAGCGAAAGACCCAATGTCTACCTGCCTGGTAGGGATCCCACTGCAAGCTGGAGAGCTCACAGACAATGTAGATACGCCTATACCTCCCCCAGGTCCCAAACCAAATCACACACAACCACACAATATCCGTCACCAACGAGCCATAACGATTAAAAACCCCATAGAGGAGTGGCTGCCAAAGCTACCCCGAGCTGCTCAGGTAAGCAGAGTTAGAGCTGTTGGGCTCCTCCCCTGCGCCATCCTGCACACACTTCTTCTTTATCCCACGTTCCAACACCAAACCTTTTGACAACATTAAACAGTGTCGAGAGGAATTCTCTGCCAAAAGGTGGTGTGAGGTTTTAAGCCATGTTGCAGCAGACAATCCAGACCATTCACATCCCAGGAGCCTCCCCAAAGGTTTGTTTTTAATTTGTGGGGATCGGGCATGGGCAGGAATGCCTTCTCGGCTTTTAGGAGGGCCATGTCCCTGTTGGCACCCAACCAAACCATGATTGGCGAGTGGACTCCTAAGAACAATTCGGTCAGCAAAATTCATAAGAGAAGCGTAGACAATTTGAACCCAAATTGTGACGCAGAAATCTTCCATTGGGCTAAGTCAAAAAGAGTTGCTGTATCCCTGTTCCTTCCATGGGTTGCAGCAGCCAAAGCTCTAGGTGAATTGGGCCACCTAGAGTGCTGGGTAGTCAAACAGGCAAACTTGACATCCACGGCCATCAGCTCCCTCCTAGAAGACAAGGAAATTACCAGGCAGGCCACACTCCAAAATCGTGCCGCCATAGATTTCCTTCTGCTGCTGCATGGACACGAGTGCCAGGAATTTGAAGGACTGTGCTGCCTGAACCTAGCATCAAAGGCACCCAACGTCCACGCAGCTCTCCGAGAAGTGAAAAGCCTGATTGGACAAGTCAAGCAGGAATCCAAGGACTGGTTCAGCGGATTGTTCAAGGACTGGGGACTCTCGGGGTGCTGGACGTCTATAATGAGGACAATTTTGGGGTTTTTTTGTTCTTTTCCTGGTCATGTTAACATTCGGGATTCTACGTTGCATACTTTTAAAGGCTTTCAACGGTTGGTCTCAGTACTGCAGAAGTCAACCGCTCAGAGTTTGTGGAACTAAAGCAAATTGGCAGTCATTGCAATGAGGGTGGTGCATTGAGATGGCCCCAGATCTGCCAGACCCCACAACATTTGCCGTGTGCACCTGACCTTGTTGGGGTCATTTCCATGCTGTCCATCCCTCCCAAAGAGTACCTCCAATACTGCCACTTCTCTCAGCTGTTGGATCCCTTCCTCAAGGGTTCGGTATCATTTTAATTTTGCCATCTGCTCAGGTGTATTTGCATCCCACCCAGGGTTTTCAAAGGGAAATATCTCAGTGACAGCACCTTGAAGCAGCTCCCTGGCTGTGCTCCCCTCAAGGATGGGATGGATTTATTGACCAGTCATCTCTCGATGGGGTCAAATGATGTGTCTGACACAGTGTTCAGATCAGCCCAGGCTGATTTATATAGAGGATATTGATTAATGTATTAATTAATGGATAGGCTGTACAGTGCTCACAGGAACTGATAGATTATATTGCACCAACCAATAGCTACAAGGTATCACCCATAATCAATATCAGTATCAAATATTATATCAAATTGCTGGTGATCAAAAACAATGTGTAAAAGGCAATACAAAAGTGCAAAAGGCAATGCAGAATTGCAGAAGCCAATCATAACCTGCAATTTATGTCCTGGCTCTGCTGCACAGTGGAAATCTGGAAGCTCCGGGGGGAACTCATTCACCCCTGTCCCCTTTCCCTGAGTGTCCCTGAGTGTCCCCAGTGACGTCACTCCAGGAATTCCCTGCAGCATTTGGGACAGTATCATTGAAAATTTCCAGAAAATTCCCCAGATTAATCTCAAATATTGCACAGGGAGGGCACAGGTGACAGCAGCGATGTCCCCAATGATGTCACTGCTGCTATGACATCGCAGCAGTGATGTCACTGTCCTG